GTTGCGGGAAGTGATGGGGTAGGGCAATGTTGTGGGAAGTGATGGGGTAGGGCAATGTTGTGGGAAGTGATGGGGTAGGGCAATGTTGTGGGAAGTGATGGGGTAGGGCAATGTTGTGGGAAGTGATAACTATCGAACTTAAGTTAAATGACTCTTACAGGAACCAGGAGAGGCAGGAGGAGCTTAAAGCTATTAGTGAAATTGAAAGAAATTCAAAATATTTCTTTTCATATGGCAAAAACAAGGCAAATACCACATCTAGTATCGGGCCCTTACTCAGACAGGTTGGGACTTAAACAGATGACAACAAGGAAATGAGTGAAATATTGAAATCCCAGTACGACTCTGTGTTTAGTGAACCACTAATCGGTCTGAGGATCGACGACCCAAATGATTTCTTCATGAATGAGCCTCAAAACTCCACAAATGTATGCCAGATTTCCGACATTACCCTAACCGATAGATTTCGAAAAAGCCATTGACAACATGCCTATGCACTCAGCCCCGGGCCCAGACTCGCGGAACTCTGTTTTCATTAAGAACTGCAAGAAACCCCTCTCGCGTGCCCTAAGTACACTATGGAGGAGGAGCTTGGACATGGGTGAAATTCCAGTCACTTAAAACAACGGATATAGCCCCACTCCATAAAGGTGGCAGCAAAGCATTAGCTAAGAACTATAGACCAATAGTTCTGACGTCCCACATCATAAAAATCTTTGAAAGAGTGCTAAGAAGCAGGATTGCAAATCACCTGGATTCCCAAAATCTGCACAATCCAGGGCAACATGGTTCAGGGCAGGTCGCTCCTGCCTCATCACTACTACTGGATCACTATGACAGGGCCCTTGGATGCACTGGAAAAAAAATCAGAATGCAGATGTAATATACACAGACTTTGCAAAAGCATTTGACAAATGCGATCATGGCGTAATAGCCCATAAAATACGTGCTAAAGGAATAACTGGGAAAGTGGGGAGATGGATCTTCAACTTCCTAACAAATCGAACACAAAGAGTAGTGGTCAACAGAGTTAAATCGGAAGCTGCCATAGTGAAGAGCTATGTTCCACAAGGCACAGTACTCGCCCCCATCTTATTCCTTATCCTCATATCAGACATAGACAGAGATATACACCACAGCACCGTATCATCCTTTGCGGATGATACTAGGATCTGCATGAGGCTGTCATCTGCTGAGGACGCGGTTAACCTCCAAGAAGATATAAACAAAGTTTTCCAGTGGGCAACGGTAAACAATATGATGTTCAATGAGGACAAATTCCAATTACTCCGTTATGGAAAACTGGAGGAGATAATAACTAGAACAGAGTATACTACTGACTCCGGCCACACAATAGAGTGGAAAAATAATGTAAGGGACCTGGGAGTAGTAATGTCTGAGGATCTAACTTTCAAGGATCACAACAGTGCCACGATCGCACGTGTAAAGAAAATGATAGGATGGATAATGAGAACTTTCAAAACGAGAGATGCCAAGCCAATGATGATCCTTTTCAAATCACTTGTTCTCTCTAGGCTGGAATACTGCTGTACATTAACATCTCCATTCAATGCAGGTGAAATCGCAGATCTAGAGAGTGTACAGAGATCCTTTACTGCACGTATAAGTTCTGTCAAGCACCTTAGCTACTGGGAACACTTGGAAGCACTTGACTTGTACTCGTTGGGACGCAGGAGGGAGAGATATATCATAATCTACACTTGGAAAATCTTGGAAGGAATGGTCCCAAATCTGCACACAGAAATCACTCCCTACGAAAGTAAAAGACTGGGCAGGCGATGCAAAATGCCCCCAATAAAAAGTGGGGGCGCCATTGGTACACTAAGGGAAAACACCATAAGTGTCCGGGGCCCAAAACTGTTCAACAGCCTCCCATCAAGCATTAGGGGAATTGCCAATAAGCCCCTGGCTGCCTTCAAGAGAGAGCTGGACAGATACCTAAAGTCAGTGCCGGATCAGCCGGGCTGTGGCTCGTACGTTGGACTGCGTGCGGCCAGCAGTAACAGCCTAGTTGATCAGGCCCTGATCCATCGGGAGGCCTGGTCATGGACCGGGCCGCGGGGGCGTTGATCCCCGGAATAACCTCCAAGTTACTCTGCAAGGGCAATGTTGTGGGAAGTGATGGAGGTAGGGCAATGTTGTGGGAAGTGATGGAAGTAGGGCAATGTTGTGGGAAGTGATGGGGTAGAGCAATGTTGTGGGAAGTGATGGGGTAGGGCAATGTTGTGGGAAGTGATGGGGTAGGGCAATGTTGTGGGAAGTGATGGGTAGGGCAATGTTGTGGGAAGTGATGGAGGTAGGGCAATGTTGTGGGAAGTGATGGAGGTAGGCAATGTTGTGGAAGTGATGGAAGTAGGGCAATGTTGTGGGAAGTGATGGAAGTAGGGCAATGTTGTGGGAAGTGATAGGGTAGAGCAATGTTGTGGGAAGTGATGGGGTAGGGCAATGTTGTGGGAAGTGATGGGGTAGGGCAATGTTGTGGGAAGTGATGGGGTAGGACAATGTTGTGGGAAGTGATGGGGTAGGGCAATGTTGTGGGAAGTGATGGGGTAGGGCAATGTTGTGGGAAGTGATGGGGTAGGGCAATGTCGTGGGAAGTGATGGAGGTAGGGCAATGTTGTGGGAAGTGATGGAAGTAGGGCAATGTTGTGGGAAGTGATGGAAGTAGGGCAATGTTGTGGGAAGTGATGGAAGTAGGGCAATGTTGTGGGAAGTGATGGAAATAGGGCAATGTTGTGGGTAGTGATGGGGTAGAGCATTGTTGTGGGAAGTGATGGGGGTAGGGCAATGTTGTGGGAAGTGATGGGGTAGGGCAATGTTGTGGGAAGTGATGGGGGTAGGGCAATGTTGTGGGAAGTGATGGAGGTAGAGCAATGTTGTGGGAAGTGATGGGGGTAGGGCAATGTTTGGGGAAGTGATGGGGTAGGGCAATGTTGTGGGAAGTGATGGGGTAGGGCAATGTTGTGGGAAGTGATGGGGTAGGGCAAAGTTGTGGGAAGTGATGGAGGTAGAGCAATGTTGTGGGAAGTGATGGAGGCAGGGCAATGACTCCTCCCACACCACACTGTGTGAAAGGGTTGATATGGGAAATGAAAGGCAGCATAATGATTCCTCGCCCACCAGTGTGGGAGAGGGGTTAATAAGACGGAGGCAGCGTAATGGATACTCCACATCAATGTGTGGGAGGGTTCATGTATGTGGTGGAGGCAGCGTAATTACTCCTCCCACACGAGATGTAGTTAAAGGTTGGCGTGTGTTGGTGGTGGCCGCCCTGTTGCAGCCACCACGAGTCATACAACCGGGGTTTCCGGCCGTCTACAAATCAATATTGGTGGTGGGTGGCAGAGTACGCGGCTAGATCTCTCCCCCCCCCCTCTCTCTCTCTCTCTCTCTCCCTCCTTCCCCCTCCCTTGATCGACCTCTCAGCCTCCCCCCCTCTCTCATGATCAACTTTTCAGCCTCCATTTCCCTCTCTCTCTCGACTTCTCATCCTCCATCCCCTCTCTCTCCTTCGATCTTTCAGTCTACCTCCTCTCTCCCTCGATCTCTTAGCCTCACTCTCTCCCCCTCGCTCAACCCTCAGCCTCATTTCCCCCCTCTCCCTCGATCGACCTCTGAGCATCCCTCCCCTCTCCCAGGATCGGGCAGTCAACTACCCTCTCCCCATCTCTCCCTCCATCCATCACCCATATCGAGTGAATGAGTATGCTTGATGGTAAGATGAAATAGACTAATAGAAAAAGATCAGATTACTATAATAATGAAACAGAAAATGATATTAAACATATTCAACCCATTAAAACTGCATCAAATTTATCTACTGCTCGCGAGATCAGATTACTATAATAATGAAATATTAAAAGCTACTAATCATATACAACCCGAAATGCCTCGGCATGATAGTGGTTTTCTTTGCTCCACTCATTTTATGATATGTAAACACACATTGTAACCTTAGCAAAGAAATAAATATTTTATTGTATTTATTAAAACAATTGCATCTACTGCTCGTGGAGTTACACTAAACTGACATTTGAGGAAATGTAATGACAATATAAGGGAATTTTGTAAATGAAATGTGGTCAAGATATTTATCTTGAAAATATTATGAGAATCACAATGCACAGGTAAACTGTAACAAATTCTACGGCTGGCAGAGCGGTGAAAGTCATACGTCTGGCACGCGTTATCACTTTCCCTTACCTACACTATATACTGTAATCGTGCCTGCATCTTAACCTTATTCAGTAACAGGTAAATATTAACGAATATAAATAAGTTAATTTATGATACCTCACATATTTAAAGATTATATTAATGAAAGATAACTGCATTTAACCTTGACAAGATACGACACTACAAGAGACGCAACTACACGTGAATGCCATAAAAGACTAGGTTCTGTGGTGGTCACACAGTACGCTCTTATTTCAACACTGGACATTTATCATCAGGCGTTAAGACTTAATACACGGGACTGTCTACGTAATTTGACACCAATGTCTGTCTAAAACTAATGCTTACCGCAACTCTTGTATAACTTTGACAATAACACCTAAACAAGGCTTGTCATCACTCTACCATGGAAAGCACATAATGACACAATTCGTAATATTTATATAAGTTTGTCACAAAAACAAAACAAAAAAAAAAACTCAGCGTAACAAGACATAGAACAGTAACATAGATCTCACGCACTAGTGAATGAACTTACATCTGCCTAACTTATCTATTTATTTACAAGCATTTGTTGTCGCTACTGTATCCGAAGATAACTATTTAGGTTATAAAATTCCTATTTAAAAGTATACCAGACATACGTTAGGTAAAAAGATACAAGAGTAACTAATGAAAATTATTAAGACTGGCTTGATATAGCTCCTGGACAGGGAAATGTAGTCGTAATACATGTCTGACAGCTGTCCTCTGTCATTTTAACCTAACCTTTTAGTATTTTAACATTTGTAAATTATACTTACGGATGCAGACGGCGGCCAGGAGGCGAGCAGAATCATCAGGAGGTATGCAAGTAGGGAAGAATGGTTTCATTATATAGACGCTGAAGGTGAGGGCGACGATGGTCTGGGAACACGGCCGTACAATGATGCACTCCACCCACAGCCTCATGAACGCCAGGAATGGCCCAAACGTGACCATTATGTATGCATAGTCAGCGCCGGTCTTTTGTATCATGCATCCTAGCTCTGCATAACAGTAGGCGCCCACCATGGAGAAGATCCCGCTGGTTATCCATACAACGAGAGCCATGCCTACGCTACCGGTGTTCTGCAGCACACCAGTCGGGGAGATGAAGATACCAGAACCGATGATAGAACCCACAATCACCGTAATACCATTCAGGAGGGTCATCTTGGGCTTGAGACCCACCACATCATCGTCTTTCTTGATTTCATCTTCGGCGTTAGTAGGGACCTCCTTGTAGTTTGATTTAGCTTCAGTCATGGCTGAGACGAAGGAAGACGAACGATACCTTCGACGTTAGAGCTGGACACACACTGAGGGCCAGACAGCCCAGTCAGGAGGCTTGGGTCCTCACACAAGGTGCTGCCAGAGGTCGCAAACATCATGTTGCCACACCTTATTTCCATTACAATTGTACATTTTACACAATCCACTTGTATATATTATGGATTGTAAACGACGTTTTTTTTAACCCACCATAAAATAAGCGTTGTGGTCTACTGGTAAATTTTAATTAAACCCAACAACGAAAAAGAAAACTAAAACCAAGATTGTCTCAGTTATTTGCCTAAGGCATATATAGATGCTTAAATTATATGCCTAATATATCTTAAGATATATGCCTTCCATATGTCTAAGATTTCTAAGATATATGTCTAAAATATATGTCTAAAATATATGTCTAAAATATCTAAAATATGTCTTAGTACAAATATATGTATAACATATGTTTAAAATTTATTAATAATACTTCTCAAATTAATAATAATAATAATAATTATTATTATTATTTACTACGAGTACATGTACAAGGTATACAGTCCTAGCTGACATCAATGACATACTACTATATTGTGCCAACGTTTCGCTCTCATGGAGAGCTATATTTTATATTACATTATTGCCACAATATCCTGTCTAAATCTAAATTTTTCCATCTTGAAACCACTGCTAAGAGTTCTGTCTTGGTTAGATACTTGTAGCACGTTGAACATTAAAATGGTATAAAATACTAACAATCTGTCGGTATTTTATACCATTTTAATGTTGTAGCACGTTATTTACATCCCCTTTATTTATTCCTGTTTTCCATTTATACACTTCAATCATATCTCCCCTAATTTTACACCTTCCTAGAGAGTGCAGATCAGGGCCCCTCAGTCTATCCTCGTACGACAGGTTACTGATACATGGGTTCATCTCTGTCATTCTTCTTTGTATGTTTCCAGCGCATACATATCCATTCTGTGAATATGAAAATGATATGCCATACCGACAGATTGATAAGTAAGACGCGTATGAAACAGATACGACTCACGAAATCGTGATGGCACGATTACAAACAAACCATACCACGGGTGGGGATAGAACCCGCGATCAGAGAGTCTCAAACTTCAGTTAGGTATCTCTATTCTGAAACGTTTCGCCTACACAGTAGGCTTCTTCAGTCAAGTCCAGAAGAGTTAGCTACTGCTAACTCTTCTGTACTTCGAGTACAGAAGAGCTATCTTCTGCTAACTCTTCTGGACTCGAAGAGCACAGACTGAAGTCTACTGTGTAGGCGAAACGTTTCGGAATAACGATATTTAACTGTTGCACGTGTGTTATGGAAACATTCCACGAAACGTTTTATAGTGTAAACATAAGCAGCCCTTAATATAACCGCTTACATAAACACTTGTTTATAATATTTGACATCTTAGACAGATTTAAGTAGTTACACAGAGTATACAATAATCTTAGGAGAAAATAACATCGTTATAGGACCTAGAATAGTTAGAAATAGGTCAAATACAGTAGTTTACCTGGAGTTTACCTGGAGAGAGTTCCGGGGGTCAATGCCCCCGCGGCCCGGTCTTTGACCAGGCCTCCTGGTGGATCAGAGCCTGATCAACCAGGCTGTTGCTGCTGGCTGCACGCAAACCAACGTACGAGCCACAGCCCGGCTGATCCGGAACTGACTTTAGGTGATTGTCCAGTGCCAGCTTGAAGACTGCCAGGGGTCTGTTGGTAATCCCCCTTATGTGTGCTGGGAGGCAGTTGAACAGTCTCGGGCCCCTGACACTTAGTGTATGGTCTCTTAACGTGCTAGTGACACCCCTGCTTTTCATTGGGGGGATGGTGCATCGTCTGCCAAGTCTTTTGCTTTCGTAGTGAGTGATTTTCGTGTGCAAGTTCGGTACTAGTCCCTCTAGGATTTTCCAGGTGTATATAATCATGTATCTCTCCCTCCTGCGTTCCAGGGAATACTTAGGTTTAGGAACATCAAGCGCTCCCAATAATTGAGGTGTTTTATCTCCATTATGCGCGCCGTGAAAGTTCTCTGTACATTTTCTAGGTCGGCAATTTCACCTGCCTTGAAAGGTGCTGTTAGTGTGCAGCAATATTCCAGCCTAGATAGAACAAGTGACCTGAAGAGTGTCATCATGGGCTTGGCCTCCCTAGTTTTGAAGGTTCTCATTATCCATCCTGTCATTTTTCTAGCAGATGCGATTGATACAATGTTATGGTCCTTGAAGGTGAGATCCTCCGACATGATCACTCCCAGGTCTTTGACGTTGGTGTTTCGCTCTATTTTGTGGCCAGAATTTGTTTTGTACTCTGATGAAGATTTAATTTCCTCATGTTTACCATATCTGAGTAATTGAAATTTCTCATCGTTTGAACTTCATATTGTTTTCTGCAGCCCCCTGAAAGATTTGGTTGATGTCCGCCTGGAGCTTTGCAGTGGAGATAGTAGAGATAGTACACAAATAACCCGCACATAAAAGAGAGAAGCTTACGACGACGTTTCGATCCGACTTGGACCATTGACAAAGTCACACTGTGTGACTTTGTCAATGGTCCAAGTCGGATCGAAACGTCGTCGTAAGCTTCTCTCTTTTATGTGCGGGTTATTTGTGTATCGTTCCAGTCATGGTATTGTGCCTTTTTGTTATTTATTTGTAGAGATAGTAGCCAGTGTTTAAAAATTCAATCTGAGATCAGGAGGGACGCTGGTTAGTCAGTTGCTACTCAAACATCACAGAGCGAAGATGTGACGAGTGTACAACCAAAACACCCTCAGGAATTACACTTGGCTGGGGAACAAGATAACCTTGAGCGGTTTCCCAAAGTATTGGATACTCGTCCCTATCAGGCTGCCCCTCACAGGGTGGCTGTCATTGAGGGTCAATGGTCCAAGTCGGACCGAAACGTCGTCGTAAGCTTCTCTTTTATGTGCCTGGAGGTTACCTGGAGGTTATTCCGGGGATCAACGCCCCCGCGGCCCGGTCCATGACCAGGCCTCCCGATGGATCAGGGCCTGATCAACTAGGCTGTTACTGCTGGCTGCACGCAGTCCGACGTACGAGCCACAGCCCGGCTGATCCGGCACTGACTTTAGGTATCTGTCCAGCTCTCTCTTGAAGGCAGCCAGGGGTTTATTGGCAATTCCCCTAATGCTTGATGGGAGGCTGTTGAACAGTTTTGGGCCCCGGACACTTATGGTGTTTTCTCTTAGTGTACCAATGGCGCCCCTACTTTTTATTGGGGGCATTTTGCATCGCCTGCCCAGTCTTTTACTTCCGTAGGGAGTGATTTCTGTGTGCAGATTTGCGGGTTATTTGTGTATCGTTCCAGTCACGGTATTGTGCCTTTTTGTTATTTGAGGAAAAGTAGTTAGCTAATCTGTGGGGGGAGGGGGTAACGGATGCTTGGAGATTTGAAGTCCATCAACGTGGTTCAGGGAACATAGAGCTCCTTACCACCAAGTGAGTTAACTTTACGTTTTGTACATTCTCACGTCAGCAGCTGTAATTGGAAATCAGTTGCATGAGCCATATGTGAACTTGGGAGAATCAACCTAGGGTGTCTGCGGCAGCATCACTGGCTGAGTTTGCTGCTCACCTAGCGGCAGTTCGCACAGAAATTTCCATGTGTCTTACTTATATACATTCTGTAATACGGTGACCAGAACTGTGCAGCATGATCTAAATGAGGCCTAACTAACGATATACAGAGTTGAAGAATAACCCGAGGGCTCCCGTTTTTTTTTTATAATTCTTGACATGAAGCCAAGAATTCTCTTCGTTTTATTGCGAACACTTACACACTGTTGTTTTGGTTTTAGATTACTGCTAACCAGATCTCCTAAATCTTTTTCGCAATCAGTGATATTAATATCTACATTATTTAATTTATGATTAACATACATGTGCAACAGTTGGGTATCTTTATTGATGAAACGTTTCGCCTACACAGAAGGCTTCTTCAAATACGGGGGCAGCAGGTATGCTTAGTGAAATGAAGATGTAATCAGTCCATCGAACTTTGTATTTGTCCATATTAAACTTCATCTGCAACTTCTCCAGCCATTTATCAGTCTGTTTAGATCTTCCTGTAGCACTTTAGTGTCCTCGTCAGAATTAATTCGTCGGACTATTTTGGTGTCATCGGCAAACTTGCTTATGTCGCTGTTTATACCATCATCTATGTTGTGTATGTAAATTTTGAACAACAACGGGCGCAACACTGACCTCTGCGGAACACCGCATCCCCCACTTTGATGTCTCCCTGTTTATGCAAACTCAATTATCTGTTAACAATGCCTCTATTCAGGAAACAAATTCTCCTATTCCGTGAGCCTCTATTTTCCTCATTAACCGTCGACGTAGAACTCTATCAAAAGTCTTACTGAAGTCCATATACACAATCACATTCATTTCGTCTCGAACACTTGTCACTACCTAAAATGAATGTAGTATAATCCAGTAACGTATACATGTATTACAGACCTTTTCACCCCAACATACAGGCCGCCCAGGGTCGTCCCAAAAACTATTCGTAGAAGTGTCATCATATAAACTAATTAGCACAACGCTGTCATCGTCGGGTACGAGCGAATTGTTTCCAACTATCTACACGGCTGTTGTCTCTACTCCACACACACACACACACACACACACACACACACACACACACACACACACACACACACACACACACACACACACATGAAGCGCTAAACCGTGTAGGCTGAATTTATTCAGCGTGAGTAGTACAGGTTCGATCCTCCGTCCGCTGATCGTTAGATAGACGCACTATTCGCAGCCAGTCGACAGGCTGAGGGGTGAATAATGACAGGGAAGAGCCATTGACACTGGAAGGAGATTGATCGAAGGAATTGGAGCAGTCCATTTCTTCCTGGGATCAAACCTGATTACGCCTTTGCCCTTCCTATTCCGAAGGCAGAAAGTCTTCGAATAAAAGTTACACAGGTGTTGAACGTGTCTATATCGTAGGTAATAATAATAATAATGAAGTTCATTTTGTCAGCTACAATCTCTGCTGTAAG